AAAAACAAAACATTAATTTTGTATCTGTTAAAAACAGTTATATTCATGCAGTAATATTTATACAAAACGTATCTATATTTGCCGATATTTTTTTATTAACTATAGCTGTCGCCCACAACTTCGTCTGCGCAGAATAATAAATAAACTTAATAAGTAGCCTATGTTTTCTTCCAGACTATGTTCTACATCTATGCCAAATTTCAGCGAGATCCATATAGCCGTTCCCGAGATACCTTCAAACAAACATCCATCCTTCTATCGAGACATTCGCATTTATAATATAATATTAGTAAGAAGTAAGATAGAACCGTTAAATGAAAAAAAAAACCACGTGTCAACGTAGCTATCTTTTATGCTAAAAATTATCATATAATTAATTACGTGCATTTATTATAAAATCTTATGTCTTTTTTTATTTACATTCTATGTATTTTTTTAAAGATTGTTGTAATCTGATGTTTTATGGCATTAACACATCCAAATTGGTTTGTGCGAAGAGCTTCGCATTCATCTAAGCAACAGTTTCCATTCTTAATTCGTTAAATAATTGCTTTGACTTCAATTATTCTGCCAAAAAGATGGCAATAGACAGTAAATTTATTTCTTTTTTTACATTAAAATTAAAAAATAATCTGACATAAAAATTAATATGATAATTCAGCCGCTGTGTTTTCTGTTTAAGATAGTGTTTTCTTTTAATTTCTCACGGTCATAGACGCAAGGTACGATTTGGATGATCGCGTGTGAAAGACACTACAAGTTACTCGTTTAGATTAAAAGTTACTTAATGTGGTTACAAGATTTGACTCTTGTGGAAGATGCTTGAACATGTATTATTTTTACGACATGCTCTTGATCTTAAATAATTTCCTAACAGATTATTAAATCGAGATTGTGTCGTATTCTTTGTGGTAATTATTAAAAAAAAACGTATTATCTTCTCCGTATGCAGTAAAAAGCTTTTAGACCATAAATACCTAATAAAAAGCAATAAAGGGCAAGAAAAAATGGTTAAAAAGGTTTTTACGTTGTAGGTCACTAAAATTTAAAAAAAAACTTTGTCTATGACGTTTACGGAGAAAGTTAATTTCACGGTTCTTTCATAAGAAAACAATTGGAGTGATCATTGTGAATATAGATTATGTAATTGAGTTAACCCACTGCCGATTACCGGAGCCATGGCACCATGCAGTTAACATGTGTACGCTTATACAAAAGAGGTTCTATACCTTTGTCACGACCTGAGTTATACAATTTAAAAAAAAACAAACGTCAAAATTTTGACTTTTGTTTTCTTAATTAGATATTAGATTTAAAGGTCTAGTGACTTAATACATATACTGTTAAAATATATTTTACAATATAAACGCTTTTTCACTGCTAATTTAATTGTTTCTCAAACATTCGAAATATGTTCAAGATTTAAGATTAAGAAAAAAATAAATTCAGACAAGATACGTTGTATGAAGTATAATTTAAAAATAAATAAGTCTTGTTTTACGTTACCGTCACAAACTACAAATGGAACAATCATCACTATCAGACCCGCATACACTGCTCTGACTAATTTTCTACTTTTTAAAACACTCCATTTTCCATTCGAATATCCAGCAATTCCAAAATGTTTAATACACTTCATCACAATAATCGATTCTAATTATTTATTATAAACACACTCAATACACTTGCTTTTTTATTATCTGTGTAATGTTGCGCGCGCATCTGTTTGCGAATGAAATGACATAACTCCCGCCAAGACTTTTGACATTAAATAATCTGTGGTCAATTGTTGTATCATTTTGTCTGTTTAGTATTAATTATTCTGATAATATTTAACGTTGTTTTAGATTTAGAAATAGTTATACGACGGACATTAAAATTACACAAACTTTGGTCTTAATAGTTTTGTTGACAAACCTCCGATCGCCTAAAGTCATGTATTATTCATAACCTCTGCTTAGAACAAATATAACTTAATTTATTAAGTCATATCTTGAAATGTTCTTCACAGGTAGGTTTTAACCCACTTTAAAATATGTTAAAGTGTAATAATAAATAAAAAATAACTGAATGATGTGACTTAATAAGGTTTTCTAAACATTTTTTTAACATAATAACAAATTAAAGTATTAATTTATTGTCTAGTTTAGTTACTTGTTATCACTAATATATTTAGACAGAGATGCATTTCATCTTACTAACTTAAAAACTGATTAAGAATGTAAAAATTAGGTTGAAAAAATGTAGTTGGTATTTTTATCGAGCCGTTTTATGATTTTTTTTAATTCTGCAAGAGTTCCTTATATTTTGGATTAGTGTTATTGTAAGATAGGAGATTGCTAAAATAAATTTACAGGCGCTGTAGCGTAAGCATTGCACACTCTATTTATCTTGTTTGCTGCTAGGAATTTCTTATTAAAATGTATAGCAATACATTGTTTGAGTACAAGAACGTTTATTAGTTTGATTGATTTAAAGAAAAGATTCTTCTGCTTGTTTTGGTAAGGTGACAAAGTTTGAAGAGAGTTTGGCTATGGATTGTGGGGACGTTTTTCTATTTATAAAAGGCCTTGTTACTGCAGTATTTGTGTACAGCTGTTGCGAAACAACGAATCAATTTTATAGGCCACAATAACATTTTTATTTGCGTATTTTATTGCGAATACATAATACGGTTGCGAATGAAATTCTAATAGTAAAAAGGTTAAGTTTACCTTTAAAAACTTTGGGATTCTAATACCGGAGGACAATCTAAAGTTCTTCTTTTCCAAAATAAATCTTTCCGACTTGAGGCGTTAATTTTTAGCGCAGTTAATTCCATATCTCCGATCTCTATTCTCATAAGTATTCAGAGCCGTAATTTATCACTAAGGGAGGGCCATGGTGTAGATTTCTCACATTAAATCGACACTAAAGACTACATAACTAATCTGCGTCACTAACAGGCTTAACAATTGCTGTCCTATTTTTTTAGTTCACTTTTTCTGTGGAATTATTCCACTTTTCTAATATATATTAGATAACCTTTAGAATTAAGATAAAGAACCCTAAATTGGGTATAATTAATAGGATAAATATTATTCTGACATCTTAAAAGGTCTAGGAAATTCCGTAAAGAGCTTTCGATTAATTATTGATAAAAAAGAAATAACAATTTTCGATATTGGCGGCTAAGGCGTCCGCCATTTTGTGCGCCATTCGACGTTTGACATTTATTATTTTTTTTCGACAATCGATAGTCGTTACGGCCATAGTTATGATATTCAGTTTCGAAATATAATGTGGAAATGTTTGTTTTTATTTTGCGTTGTGTTAAATATATGTTATGGACATAAACATCATGGTAAAGAAATATTGATAGCGGAAAAGTATCCTGATAAAGTAAAATATAGTGTTTATCCAATGTATTATCCAGTGGTTTATCCATATTATCTTCCGACTTATAATTTTATTGGCTAGTTACTGGCAGTTTGTTAAAAAAAGTGAAAAACAAAAAAAAAATACAGACCTGGAACCAGTTTTTTTTTAATTCAAGCAAAATTAAATAATTTTTGTAAATTAAAAAATGTAATTTAAATATTACAGGTAAAATAATTACAATAATTTTATCACAACATTTTTATTTATTTTTCTTATAGAAAAATAAAATAGTTATTATTTGGTTTCTTTCAGATTTTTTTTAAAGCATTCAACATGGCAATATTAGATTTGATAATTTTGTTACTGCATATAATTACGTCTGTATCAGTCTGGGCGTATTACCCAGATTGGGGGCCAATTATTGGATCTTTCACCCCAGGTGTAGTATACCAAGCAGATGATTGCAAAGAAGGTTATAACAATTTATGCCTAGAAGTACCAACAAAGGAAATATGTAAGAAGAATCTATCAATGCCTACCGTTCCTTGGATTCCCCGACCCTGGTGGTATTTCTATTGTCAATCATTATTAAATCCAAAAGCTGTACAAAAAATTAAAACAACATCAAGCACAGTACATGAATATTTCAAAAATGTCTTAAGGGATTTAACTATGTATAGAAAATCTCAGAAAATAAACAAAATGTTGTGAGAATTTTTATTTTTCCTCTATCTTACTAATATTATAAATGTTTAGATGGATGGATGGATGTTTGAAGGTATCTCTACAACGGCTACATTGATCTCGCTAGCATAGATGTAGAACATAGTCTGGAAGAACACAAGCTACTAATTTTTCTTCAATTTTGCGTGGACGGAGCCGCACGCGATAGCCCTTGTATCCGTATAAAAGAAGAGAAGGTGTAAAAGAAAGCAAAGGGGGTTAAAGCTTTTAAAAATGTAATTTATAAAAGTGCTAGACGTTATACTATAATCCTTTAATTTCAAATTAGATATACAAATTGCATTCGGTTAGTAAAAATAAATATAATAAATAAAACTTTTAGAAATAAAAAAAAGAAACAAAAAACTATTTTCAGTTTTTCGCTTGTGATTTATAAATAAAAAGCGATGTTCTCATCATTTTAATGGTACCTTTAATCAAGATTGAAACAGTTGCTCATTATTTGCTACGTTTGCGATGACATCAAAAATACCGAAACTTAAAAATAAACAAAGATGAGAAATAAATTACAAAAATGTCACTAAAACTCTGCTATCTAGATAAACGAGTTAGTATCATAATGCGTAAATCCGAATTTGATTTGAAATAAGACAATAATGATTCTATAAAAATACCTGACGCTTCGCACATCGGGAAGAAGAATACAATTTCTCGATATATATTGTCTACGCGATAAGGATGGAGTAAATCTAGGCAAAACCTTGTTGAATCTCGCTCTAAAAAGCAAGTATATTTAAAATGGATTTAAAAATAAAGCAAACAAATATTAAACATTTAATTTAAATTCTTTTAGTTCTAATTAATAATTTCGTTGTCCTAACTAATGGTAAACTGTAACCGCTTCTTCTTAAGTTTTGTAATTGTCTCAGATAAGATTTATATCTGTTGTAAATTACATTCTGATTCCTTTCTGTCTTCGCTCTCAAGTCCTCGCAATAATAAAACCACCAGGGCATTATAAGATGTTGGTCGAAGGCCTGTTTAAACATATCCGCGCAATACGCTGGGTTTGGTATTTTAAAGTCTTTTAAAGCATTCTTTTCCATACTATTTGGAAAGTATAGGGGTTCGGCAGCCTTATGAGTTGTACTTCGTGTTGATGGCAGCCATTTAGATTGTACGTAGTTTAATGATATTAGACAGATGATGTTAAACTGAGAAATAAAATTTAATTTAAAATATTGTAGCTTAACTTCACTTTAGTCATGGATTTTTTTTATCTTACTTCTTAATATCTTTATATATATAATTCTTCTGTGAGTGTGTATGTCACTGAACTTCTCTCAAACGACTGGACCGATTTTGATGAAATTTTTTGTGTGTGTTCAAGTGGATCTGGGAATGGTTTAGATTCACAATTTTGTCCGCTGGACAATGTTTTTTTTAATTTTTAATTTATTAATAGTTGTTGATTTTGGAATGTTTTACATTGGATCCGACAGACGGCGCTACCATCGCAGTGTCAAATTTTAAATAATATTCAAATTTAAAAATTAAAGACGTGTAGAATGGACAACGTCTATCGGGTCCGCTAGTATCTTACTAATATTATAAATGCGAATGTTTGGATGGATGGTTGGATGTTTGTTAGAAGGTATCTTCTGAATGTCTGAACGAATCTCAATGAAATTTGGCAAACATATAGAACATGGTCTGGAATAACACATAGGCTACTAATTAAGTTTTTTTAAAAGAATTAACTTTAAGAGTTTGGTTATATGATTGTTACTTAAAATAACTCACCAATTGAACCATTTTTTTTTATAAAACCTAAATACTTAATTGATAGTAAAGTAGGTTTATTAATTCTACAATCGTAAAACATAAAATTATTACAAAGGCGTCATTATGCTAGAGTAACATTAAGTATATTATGAAAACTGATTTCAAATGCCGTAGCATTTTATCGAGAAATATATTTCAAGTTATTAAATTTTCTATAGTATATTTTTATTGCAAATTTTATTGCATACACTACAACGAATCCGACATAAAATACGCAAGAATCACAAATCTTTAAACTTAAGTATAATACTTAAGTTGCTATCATCAGCATCAGCTCGCAGTACGTCCCCACTGAGGGTCTCGGAGCCAACTCTAAGTTAAGGCTGACTAGGCCATAGTCAACTATGCTGGACCAGTGCATGACGGTTGACTGTATTAAGGTTGCCAATGGTAACAAAATAATAGTACGATCTGATTTGTCTACATCGCCATCTATTGGTGTCATTAAACTATTTTTTTAAGTTACTTTTATTAACAAAAGACCTGAATGAACTAAACGATATTATAAAATCATTTGAACGAGTCAATTAAGATGATTACTTTCATTGTAAGGTTTTCTTTCCAAAAATGCGTTAATTTACATTTATATAATAACTTTTGTATTCATGTTTCTATTCAAACGGATTCTTTGAATTTTTGTTCACGCATGTTTTCCTGAAATAGTGGATAATAGGTCAAATCGATATTCGGTTAAAATTGCTAATTTATTACTCCAAGAGCTGTCGCCCGCGACTGTGTCCGAGCGGAATATAAAAAAACTTAATAAGCCTACATGTTCTTCCAGACAATGTTCTACATCTATGTCAAATTTCATCAAGATAGGTTGAGTCGTTCTGGAGATACCTCGTAACAAACATCTATACATCTATCTAAACATTCGCATTTATAATATTTGTAAGATTAGAACAAGTAGAGATGCTAATAATCTTTATTTGCCAAATACTACAAACAATTGAGGCCGAAAATAACCATGGATATGATTAAAGAAAAAATCTACAGTTGTTCTTATTTTAAAATGTTGGTTCTATTTTCAAAAGAGATTCAGACACCGATCTCTATAAATGGAACGGCTATTAGACCTAATATTTTGTGCCTATTTGATTTTCACCATTTTGGCGCTGATGGTAACGGTTTGTAGCGGTGGTTTAGATTCGAACTGTATATTATTATATAGAACTAGCTGTCGCCCGCGACTCCGTCCGCGCGAGATTAAAAATAGATGTTGGCCGATTCTCAGACCTACTTAATATGCTCACAAAATTTTGGGAACGAAAATTGTGACACGAGAATTTTATAAATAAGATTAACTGTAATGTTACACCAACATGCGTGATTAGTTCATTACTAATTTCTAAGCAATAGCCTATCCAATTATAGAGGTCAGTGGGTTTAGTTCATTCAGTGTTAGTTAAAACAAATGAAAACTTAAGTCCAATAATACAGTTTTGTGAACGAAAAAACAAAACGTTAAAGTACTGTTATCGATATTTACAAAACAAACGCTGGATTTTCTCCGGGAGTTGTGATAAGGTCCTATACTTCACATTACATTTTTCTCACTCAAATACCTTTATAATGGAATTACTTGAAACGGTTGGTAGTCGTTTTCTTAATGAGTTAATTTCTTCTATGTGTTTTAAATAATGTCTTATGTTAGTGTCGTACTGCTTAAGAATTGCAATGATTGAATTTAAACATAATCATTTATTTTCTTTTCTCTGGTAATCTTACTAATATTATACACCCGGAAGTTTACATGGATGGATGTTTATTAGAACGTATCTCTGGGACAGCTCAACGGATCGTCATGTAATTTGGCACAGATGTAGAACATAGTCTGGAACACATGGTGGGGGATAGCTTATCTTAATTAAAACTTTAATTTTCAGATCCTAATAACCCTTCAATTTTCAAACGTACTCTCAAAGAGATACGGTTCATCATCAGAAGAGAGTATCGAGAATCTTATTTATTATAAAGATTGTAATCACAAACGTAAAGAGGATGTAACCGCACCGTCAATACGATCACAACCGCAGCCGACACAAGAGTGTAAGATGTGCTGCAGCATGTGTTGCGGTGATGAATGCACGCATACACAACACGAGCCGATGATGAGCAGGCAATCACCGGCGATGATGAAACCACCGCCTTTTAGGCAGCCAGTGCCACAACCGACGTTAAATCAACGAGCAAAGCGGCCGAAGATGCGTCAAGTACCAGGACTTCAGCCACCGTTAGCGAACAGAAGAAATATTGAATTCACACGACAGCATATTAGAAGTCTAATATCACAGGACCAGGATATCAGGAAGATATTAAAAGATCTAGTGAGAGTGACGATGCAGAAAGTCGATTTGATGGACATGATTAAGACAAGAAGGAGTTTAAACAACGTGGAAGGGGTAGAGAACAGCGAAGGAGAGTATCAACAATAACTTCTGCATAAAACTCTTTTAAAGCATAGTGTGCGTTAGAACACCTTTGTGTTATTTTAAAATATTCATCAATCATAGGTATGTGCTATAAATGAAGGTTTAATAATTTCCTTCAAGATTAAAGATGTGTTATTAAGGTAACAAAGATTCGAACTTGATACGAATTTATTAAAATAAAGCTTATAATAAGATATGGTAAGTAACAAAATCGTTGTATTCAAAAATAATAATCATTTGCATAAGATGTCGGTTAAATTTCAATAGATGGCGCTAGTTGTTTCTAATGCCTTTTGAAATTAAAAAGAAGAAAAAATAAATGTTTTATCTAATTCTACAGATGTGTTATGATAAATGTTATTGTACAGACGAACACATCTTTCAATTGCACTATTATTATTTCCTAACTATGTTCCAACGCGGTACAGGCAGTGACAAATGGTGTGGGCGACTGTACTGAAAGCAACTGGAACTATTTCAATTAGGCCAGTGTTATTTGTGGTAAACGTCGTATACAATAGTATCTATTGAATATTGGGATGAAGTAGACGTTGACTGGTGAATTCTACTTTTATATTGCTCTAAAGAAAAACAAAATGTTGTTGTTTGTTGGTGAACTGTCATTTTTAAAATTGGAATGCTATGCCACGGAACACGTGAGAAAAGTGTTTTCTGATTGTTTAGTTATATTATTCTAGAACTTTCTTTTTAAATTAGTGTTTTAAAATGTTTTTCAAATGAAAATAAATACATAATGATTGAAATAAATTTACAAAAAAAGTCAACTCGTTGGGCTAAGGACGGATTTGTGACTATCACTTTCGTATCGACATCGTAAATTATGTCAAAATTAGTATAAGTTTTGTCCTACTTCAACGATAGAGGGCGGTATATAAATCTAATATAAATTTTGTCGTTGACGTTACGAATAATTTCTCGCATATTTTCCCGCTAGGCCCTCTGAGTAATTATTGTGAGTCGTATACGATTGTGTGAAATAATTACGTGTGACTTTCTTTAATGAAAAGCAAATAATTCAAAATGTTAAACAGTCCCTCTTTCTACGGATTTCAAAACAAACAATAATCATTTCAAGTTTGTCCCGACTAAATAAGTACCGTTGTACAATTAATTCAAATTAACACACTCATATATGTTTGTTTATCGTTCCAAGCTTAAGAAAATAATTATTTGTTCGTTATAATTTAAAGAGAGACAGGACTAAATTAGTCACCATCATTTTTACTGAGAAAAATGTTTGTAACGTTTAGGTAAGAGAAATACAGAAGATAAAGAGAGGGAGATAGAGATATCACAGAGTCCTTTGAGATAGAAGTTGGACCTGGGCTTTTTGGTAAACGGTAAATTTCTATCTGACTCTACCTCTTTCTTTTTTCTTATAATATACTTCTCTGAATACCATTAAATATCTTTATAAATACCTACATTAATATACCAAATGGGCGGGGATTCCCTGGAGTTCTTCTGGAAGATAAGTTGTCATGTCAACTAATGGTAATTTATATTACTCTGCAATTCTTTGACTGATATTTTCATTTTAATGCTTTTCGAAAAGCTACTTAAGGTACGTTTCCATTGGCTGCGCCGGATGCAAGGATAAAACGGATTTGCATTGCCTTGATGCTATGCTTGATGGAGCGTCGGTGGCTCAGGAGTCAAGCACTTGACTTGCAATCGGCAAAGCAAGTTGGTCGACTTCACACTTTGAATTTATTAGCAGATTAGTGCAGGTTTCATTACCATGTTTACCTTCACCGTAAGAATCCATAAATATACAACTAAACAAAATGTTTAACAGTGGTAGAGCCCGCTTTAACATCTTCACACGAAATGGCCCGGCTCGCCCGGTGAATTACCACGACCACACCGAAGACAGGCGTCAAGTGGAAGCAATTCCGCGTTTTGTCTGATGAGTGTGCGTTCCGGAGGCCTAATTTATTCCTCTTTCCCTTGCCACCCTTTTTCTTATAAGGAAATGATGGGAAGTGGAAGTGGACTTTCCGGATGAGAGGATGCATGTAAAGGGAAGATATTTTCTTTCCGTGCATCCTCTCCTCCGTCGATTAAAGGTAGGCAACGGATATGCAATTGCGTATGTCTATGGGCAACGGTCACATCGCTATTACAGCGATTTCAGGTGGCCGCTCGCTCGTTTGCCAGCTTATGATATAAAAAAAAGGTAAGCAACTCATCTGTAACGTTAGTTTCTTGTCTATGGTAAGCAGTAGTCTAGTCAATTCATTGTTTTAGTAAAATCATGTCGTACCTTGATTGTTTAAACTTAAACGAAGTAATGCTCCTAACTAGGGCAATAATAAATTCTGAATAAATCAACCAAAGTGAGATAAAATTGAAACAAGAATAAATGTATCTGAGATATAATGAACAAAAATTTTTGAACATTTACATAAGTTTGTTGGATACTTTGCGAGCGCGGTATTATGCAAATATATGCACACAATGTTTCGTGAACATTTATTACTTTTTACGTCGGAATGGACACATTTGTACGAGATATAACTTTATTCTGTACTATCTTTATACATAAATTAACAAATAAGCTATTATACGACTACTATCCAAAATTCAGTGGCTAAAATAACCTGAACTTAATATAAAAAAATAGAAAAAACACGAATAATTGAGACTATAATAGATGATCGCGCCATCTATTGTCTGCGTATTAATTTATTTATAATTCTTTAACTAAAATAAACTGTTATGTTAACACTTTCTTATTTTATGATAAAAACTAGCTGTCGTCCGCGACTCCGTTCGCGTGGCTATAAAAGAACTTTATAAATACTGTATGTGTTTTTCCAGACTATGTTCTACATCTGTGCGAAATATCATCAAGTACCGTTGAGTTGTTCCGGTGATACATTCTCACAAACATCCATTCATCCATCTAAATATTTGATTTTATAATATTAGTAAGGTTATTTAGAATTCAAATAGATATAGCAATGAAGAAATAGGGCGACTGAGATTCAAACTCGTTCTTAACTTAATGACACTTCACTTGACAAAATCAGTCCAGTCGTTTAGGCTCAAGGCCGTCACAATGGAATATATTTTTAGGAAGAAAATCCGACACTATGCCGGTGTACCGGTATATCCCCTCACTAATCATTCTGTCTTTTGACTTTGTAACGAAAGCACGTCATTCGCGCCAAACGATTCTAATTAATAATGTCTAAAAATATAATACATACAAACTCACATAAATAAAAACATACATACATGCGAAAAACATTACCCTCTTTGTCAGTCAAGTAAAAAAATAAGTTTTTATTTTTTAATTAACTTTAAGTTAAACAAAACTATGATAAGATTCAGTACAACAATGGTTTTGTTCTCGAACAAATGTAAGATAACTGCAATTAGTTGTCTTAGGTTATTATAAAGTTACATTTTGAAATGAAAAGAATAATCTTACGAGGTAATTGAGGTTATACGTGGTAGGAAATTCAAACTGCAGGCGAGGCTTTGCTTTGAGATTTTCCCCATGAATATAATAACTTTTATGAGTCTAAGTTCTTAGTAAAACGCGATAAAGTAACGGCTCATCTAATCTTACTAATATTATAAATGCAAATGTTTAGATGGATGGATGTTTGAAGGTATCTTCGAAATTTCTTAACGTATCTTGATGAATTTTAGCATACATATAGAACATAGCCTATGTGGCTACTAATTATGATATCGTATTCCGCGCGTACAGAGTCGCTGGCCACAGTTAGTATACTCATAATTATGAATCCGCAGCAATTAAAATAAATTCGTTACAATACCTTAAATAGTAAATAATTCAGTACTACCTGCCGCCCGCAACTCCGTCCGCGTGAAAAAAAAAAATTAGTATCCTATATATGTTCTTCTAGATTATGTTCTACATCTATGTCAAATTTCAACAAGTTCCATGAATGCGCTCTTCAGATACCTACTAATAAAACATCCATTCGTCCATCCATCTAAACTTTTGCATTTATAATATTAGTAAGGGAACATACCCATACTACGTGACCTATTTGTTTTAGTTTTTTCGACCCCTCCCTCCCCTCAGTGAACCTACGTAGTACATGTCAAGATCAAGGTGGGGGGGAGGCCATTTACTTTTTACGTAGTAATTCATAATTATGATTTTCAATCATTTATTTCACAGGTAAAAATTGAAAAAGAAATATTTTGGCTCATACTCTTCTTTATAGCATAAGACTGCATGCATTCCTAAATTACTAGTGAATTATGTGTTATAAAGAAAAACAAGTAAAAACTACGTGACTAAAATCTAAACCCCCCCCCGCTCCTATGACTGACCGTAGTATTTTAAAGACTCCGCTCCCCCTAAACGGGTCACGTAGTATGTATATGTTCCCTAAGATTATTTAATGTTTTAATTAGTTTCCGATCACAGAATTATATTTATGTAGTTTAAGTACATAACAACACCTGACATTTACTATCTCATTGCCTTTATGTATACCACGTTAACGTGCAGTAATATGCGTAATTAAAAATCAACTGGAGTGCCTACAGCTGTAATAAACTGATGAAAAACAACTCCATAATCAACTGATTGCAACTTTAATAACTTGATACTGGCGCGTCAAGTTTGGGCGGGAAAAAGACAGATGTAGGGTGCGATGACATCGTCCCTTTCTAACATCGGACTTTCAAATCTGTGCTGCGAGTGGCCGAGCGCAGGGCGGATTGTAGACCTATGAATATTGCAGACATGACTTAAGTTTTATTTTAATTTAACGTAAACCAATTATGTACCTAATACATTGTTGCATATTTTAAGGGTAATATCCTCAAGTTGTTTAAAATTATGAATGTTTAAGTATAGCATCGGCAAATTTAATTTTGAAACTTAAATAATGAAAAGAATATTTACTTATATTTACCTAATATTAAAAAAAATCCTATTATACATTATTTTAAGTTATAAAAATCTCTATTTTATAGACAAATACATTTTAATAAAAATTTTATTTAGATTTTTTTTATAAAACTTGTAAGAAAAGTTTGCTACTATAAAATATTTTTAATTATAATTTGTTTCCTACTAATTATTAAAGTCAGTATTTAAAAATTTATCAGATCTATTTAATTCATTACTTTGTATAAAACATCCTACGCGCGCTTTTTAAGCTCTGTGACGGGTGCTTAAAAGCTCCCGCTTCGCCCGCCCAAGCGCATTTCACAACCAAACTTGCACGCCCACAGTCACATGTGCTGACTTCCCTGACAACCTTCGACAAGAACCATCGGTAAGTACCAATAAAGTTGTAACTTAATTTTATATTTAAATTTTAATTCGGGAAAGATTTAAATACAAAAGTTTTTTTTGTCGTCAAAATAAAAACCAGTTTTTTTTTTGTTGGGATATATTATTAAATAGGTGTTTTAAAGTGTTATTAAAGAATTTAATAATTAATAATGTAAATTACATAGAAAAAATAGTACACACCATATTTTTTAAACAATTTCGTCTCTTAAGCAATAAACTTTTCCATCTTGTTTCGAATAATTCCTTCATAAACTTTTCTACTTAAATTATTATGTTTCTCCAAAGTTTACTAAAAGATTTGTGCGAGATGTATCTCATTTTATTGTACTTTAAACTTATCATCCGGACCGTAAGTTTGAATTTTCCGATAAAAATACTATAAAATTTATCCGTGCTTAATTTTACAACTTTTTTAATATCAAAATGATTTTTATATTAATATTTTTAAAATATTGTCATCCATACAATTAATTTAAATTGGAGTGTCTGTGTGTATTACTGAAAAAAAAATCATATATCTCGAATATCTGTTGCACCACACAGAAGACAGACGTGAAGTGGAAATAATCCCGCGTTTAGTTTGACGAGTGTGCTTGCTGGATTATAATTTTTTCTTCAATAAATCTTTAAATAAATTCCATATTCTTTGTCCTCTCTCCCTACTCTCTCTTTTCTTGTAAGGAAAGGATGGGAATGTGAAGCGCATTTGACGGAGGATTGGGCGCATAAGAAGGGGAAAATTTTTCTTTCTGTGGGCCCCTTCCTCCGTCGATTAAAGGTAGATAGTGCATCTGCAATTACGGATGTCTATGGTTAGCGGTCGCGTCGTTATTTCGATAAATTGGGGTAGCTGCTTGCTCGTTTACCACTTTACAATATATATAAAAGACAGAAATATAAAAACGTGTAAGTAAATTAGTCCTTTTTATTTTTTTAAAATTTTATTATTAAATATAAATACTAATTTACAGAGAATTGAAAATAGTATTCATTATTTGCACAGCATTGAGTTTAATAGGTCTCAAATGATCCTGATTAGTCTATCGTATCGTAACAGCGTATATTATATATTATATAATCGCTTTTATGTACTTAAGCTGTCCCATAGTGTAGATTTATCAAACTCCTTTAGGTCTTCTTTTGTAACCATTATAGAACTCAGAGTACCATTAATAGAAGATTAACTTCTGAAGACGGTTATGTTAATGTCAAATTATTTCAGACTAAACGTCCTTAATAAATGTCTCATTGCTCTTTTATTATTAACTTATATTCATAACTAGTTTTAATTAGTCCAAGCGGAAATAAAAAAAACTAATAAGTAGCCTATACGTTCTTCTAGACTATGTTCTATATGTCTGCCAAATTTTATAAAAATCCGTTCAGCCGAACCAAAGATACCTTCAAACAAGTATCCATCCATCCAAACATTCGCATTTATAATATTAGTAAGATTAAGTAAGAATAAATTGGGATAAATATTATAATTTCTTATTCACGGTCATTTTACATTATTCAACGACGATTTGCAAAGACAATCGGCTAAGTGGTTATCTACATAACGGAATAACAAAATTTCTATGATTGAATACAAATAATATTCTTGTTTTAGAGTTATTTTTCCAGTATACCTTTCTCACCGTAACATGAATAATATTAGTAACCCTAAGTTACTATTGGTTAATGATACTTTGCATTATGTATGCATAATTTATGGATCTTAATTCGTGATTAATTTTTTTTTTATATCATAAAGTGGCAAACGAGCGAGCGGCCACCTGAAATGCTGAAATAGCGAAGTGACCGTTGCCCATAGACTTACGCAATTGCATAAGCGTTGCCTACCTTTAGTCGACGGAGGAGAGGATGCACAGAAAGAAAATATTTTCCCTTTCCATGCATCCTCTCATCCGGAAGGTCCACTTCCACTTCCCATACTTTCCTTATAAGAAAAAGGGTGGGAAGGGAAAGTGGACTAATTTTGGCTTCCGGGACGCACAATCATCAGACGAAACGCGGAATTGCTTCCACTTCACGCCTGTTTTCTGTGTGGTGGTGGTATTTCACCGAGCGAGCCGGGCCGATTCGTGCGAATATGTTAAAGCGGGCTCTACCACTGTTCAATCAGTTATTCCTTTATATATCCTTAAGTTTTATAGTTAAAGAATTATTTTGTTTATCAAAGTTACTTGTGATTAATATTCCTTAAATAAGGAAAACCTCTAATTTTCCTACGATCAAACAATTCTCTTACAATTTATTTCCACCAATTTTGTAATTTAAAACAAAAGAATAAACATTCAGCCAATAACAAAGTTTACAAATATCTTTTAAATGGCTTCATTATTTAAAAAAATATTGTGACAGATTACCTTTTGCTTTGTTAAAATAAAGGAAAATTAACTTCTGAATAACATTTTCTTCACACTTTTTTTATTAATTGTTTAATTTTTAATTCTTCCTTTTGTTTTGTAATACGAAGTTTTTGTTGTACAATCGTAGCCACGACCATACCGCTTTACTTAATGTTTTTATTGTAATTCATACAAAATTATAGTAAATTAACAGTGGTAGAGCCCGCTTTAACATCTTCGCACGAATCGGCCCGGCTCGCCCGATAAAATACCACGACCACATAGAAGACAGGCGTGTAGTGGAAGCAATTCCGCGTTTTCTCTGATGAGTGTGCGTCCCGGAGGCCTAATTTAGTCCTCTTTCCCTTCCCACTTTTTTCTTTTAAGGAAAGGATGGGAAGTGGAAGTGGAAGTGCACTTTCCGGATGAGAAGATGCATGGAAAGGGAAAATATTTTCTTTCTGTGCATCCTCTCCTCCGTCGATTAAAGGTAGGTAACGTATATGCAATTGCGTATGTCTATGGGCAACGGTCACTTCGCTATTTCAGCGATTTCAAGTGGCCGCTCCCTCGTTTGCCACCTTATGATATAAAAAAAAAGTTTACAAAGATATGTATTATAACAAAGATATGACACGAATTCGAGGTTTAATACAATCAATAATGAAGCAGACTCATTTTACTATATACTAATATTATAAATGCGAAAGTTTATATGTATGTATAGATGGATATTTGTTAGTAGGTATGTCCAGAACGACTGGATGAATCTAGCTGAAATTTGTCATAGACGTAGAACATAGCCTGGAAGAAGACTTACGCTTCTAATTATTTTTTTTAAATTCAGCGTGAACGGAGTCGCGGGCGTCAGCTAATAATATATTAAAAGAAATTGATTGTGTGTTAGTTTTGTTCAAGGAGTGTTAATCCTATAATCCTTTTGTACCCAGCTTAATCTAATCAGAGTAAGTTTAATTCTTAAGGGAAAGTTACTTAACAATACCTTTTTACTTAACCTGTAAAGTAATATTAATACTTGAGAAAATAAGGAAACTATTTTCTAACTTTGCCTTGTTCTTATGGTTGGCGATTTGAACTTGTATGCTGGATTATTTTAATTATATTCAATATAATATTATTAAGTTTTATAGATATTTGTGGCAACCCTGATAGTTTTAATTAAGTACACTAATACTGCAATACTACAATAGCCGTGTGTTTAAAAATGATAATTGTCAACCTTTTGAATAATTAAAAAGAAATTATTTATAGTTAAGGAAGTTTTTATAAAACCTTTTTAGCAAAATTGATAACTTTTTTTGTTTTCGTCAAAGGGTTTCCTTAATTCTCAGCGGACAGTGTTATTTGAAGTTATTTAACAAATTTTAAATATAATCGGCCTTAACTTCGATAAAGTATTTATGTTTTTTTTAATTATTTTACCTTGAAGCTTGAGTATTAAAATGCTATTAATACCTTTGTTATTTAAAATAACAGATTCTTTTATATTTTTAGCTGTGGTACTTATTTAAAGCAATATCATTTAAGCTTTTAAGGGAATTATAAGCTAACAGATATACGCAATTGCATATGCGTTGCCTACATTTAATTCACGGAAGAAAGGAATGCACAGAAAGAGAACATTCCACCTTCCCATGCATTATTCGGAAAATCACTTCACTTCCCATCATTTCCTTATAAGAAAGAAGACGGGAAGGAAAGAGAACTAAAATTAGGCCTTCGGAACGTACCCTCATCAGACGAAACGCGAGATTGCTTCCACTTGACGCCTGTCTTCTGTGTGGTATTGCACCGGACGATACGGCCAATTCGTGCGATGTTTAAGTGTGCTCTACCACTGCTAAAATGCTAATTTACCGGTTTAGTTTTTTAAAAAGTTTTTAATAAATTTAAAATACTTTATGCACATGGAGATGAACTTTGAAAGTTTACTGACGATCACAGCGTTCAGTTCACATAAGTAAAGGCAAACAGAATCGACTCATGTTCAATCCCGAAGAATGAAGTCCTTTAAACTTATATAACTTTAAAGTAACTTACTAACTTAAAGTTTTGCATCCGTTTGTGAAATCAAATCAAGTTCAGTTGTTACCTTACATATAGTCTAGGTAGGAATTATCTTTTGACGGATATATGTTTTTAAGTTTGACGTAAGAAACTTCGCATTTACTATGTTTCCACTGACAAGTTAAATATTTAAAAATATAATAAATAAAGATGCTTTCATGGTTTTTGTGGAAATAAATATTAAATAAAAAAGTAAACATGTTTTGAAGCATGTTAATTTAACCTTATTCAATACGGTAGAGCCAAGATAAAACCTGAAAACATAAATAAAGTAACAAAATATCTATACAAGTTAAAAAGTCGCGTTACTTAGGAATAAAAAAAGAATCAGCACTGCCAAAAAGTGAGGTTAAATTATAATTTCCACGTAGTAGCTAGACACGCGACTATAGTCGCGCTTAGTGGAAATAGCCACAGTCCTCTCTGTCCGTTCCATTTTAAGTTGAGTTATTGCGTAAGATGAAAACTATGGTACTATAAATTCTAATTAATAATATCGAAGTAAAATAAGCTTTTATTTACCTTTTAGTTTGTGTAATAAAACATTAATAAAATGGAACATTAGTGTTTCATGATGTTAGTTTTAATTACACTATTAAAGGAAAAGATAATTAAGGTATGATTTGACTGCAATCCGAGAAATCAAATTATAATTACTTTTATACCTTTTTTTTTCAGAGGGGAATGCTTTATGCATACTCCGCGCCCCCGGGGGGGACGCGGTAGTTATGTGGGATTCTCCTCCATAGCGGAGGCATACCCACTAAACCCCTCTGTTCCTCCAACGCATCGGGACGGGACCACGGGCACGCTTTCGCTCTCGTCCGCGGAATTACTTTTATACCTAAACTAGCTGTCGGCGGCAAATTCGCGGGATTAAAAAAAATAATTTAATTTGTAGTCTATGTGTTATTATTTATTATGTTTTACATCTATGCCAAATTTCATCAAGATCCATGAAGCTGTTCTGCAGATACCTTCTAACAAACATCCATCGATCCATACATCTAAACATCTATATATATGTATAAAAGAAAGTCGTGTTAGTTACACTATTTATAACTCAAGAACGGCTTCCAAATTGGTGAAGTAGTTTAGATCATTTTCGAATTTGTGTGTTGAAGAGCTGCTTTTTATTTAACATACAAATATTATAAATGCGAATGTTTAGATGGATGTGATGTGGGTGGATGGATGGGTGTTTGATTATATCTCTAGAACGGCTGATCTCGATTAAATTTGGCATACGTATAAGTCTGAAAGAACACATAGGCTATACAAATTAAGTTTTTTTATATATCCAAGCGAACGGAGTCACGGGCGACAGCTAGTATAAACTAGCATATATCTTACTAATATTATAAAATATTAGTAAGATATATGCGTGTTAACCATTACAATATATTCATGTTTGGGAATTGCTTGAGGTTATATTGTTTCCCTTTCATCACAAAACTTCTGTGTAATTTCGACGCCCCTGAGTTTTGTTTTGACATCATTTGTTTCATGTTTGAAGCTAATTAAAGTACATTTTAAAAAAAAGAACTTACAAAAGGTAAGATTAAATCAAAACGAATTTCGCTCATCAAAATTACAATTGTTAAGTTATTTTTGCAAATAATCTCTAATTAAATATCTAATATTTAATTAATCACTCGCTTTAAACACGAGGTTTTTAATGGCTCAAGCCATCTACAGATAATACAAAAATAAAACACAATTTTTATTTATAAATTAATATGTTTAATCATTTAGATTCATTAGAATTCGGTGATCTCCCAATCCGGTAACAATAACGAAGTAACAGCCCGTGCCGAGGCTCCTGAGCCCTTGTGTCTTGTTAGTCTTAGACGAGGATCGCTTAAGAGTAACAAGACACAAGTTCGCTCGGCCACCTCAAACCCGGTGAAGCTGTAAATGCCTCTTCAAGGCAGTGACTACTCAGTCACAAAAAAAAACTAATATACATTTTTATTATTTTTTAATATTAGGTTTTATATATAATGAAAGTACGATGAAAAGAGTCTATTTTTGGTAAATATTTTCATATACTTTCCACAATATAGTTTTCATAATGTAATTGGTTGATACGAAAAATTCTACCCTATTTCTATATATCCTTTTCTAAGTTGAAAAGACGCTTACTTATTTGGTAATATCATTGTTGATTACATTGGTATAATATATTTGTCATTTAATCATTACGACTTATTTATATCGATGTATGAACGGATCAAATCTTTATTAGAAATTTTTACATGGAGTTTTTTTTTGGTAAGCTCTTACAAATTTATTAAGGTATATATAAAACATTTTGTTGTCAATTTCCCCAGTGGAAACATAAACTTAAGAGATTATTTTTCTATATAAATAAGTAATTGCAAGTGACGTTACATTACGGACATCCATTACAAAGGTTTGCTAAGTGCGGTTCTTAACAATGTTATCCTTAAGTAAAAAGATTTAGAGGTCGGACCTTGTGTAAATTCAATTTAATTATACACCTTAAGCTCTAATACACGATGATAACGACAATTTAAAAATCATCATCAACCTACCTCCCTGTAGAGGGTCGGCACAGTATTACTCTTCCTTCTATATCAGCCGTCATATCTGACTTCACTCTTATCCAATGTCTTCGGTCTTCTACTTTTGAAGCAATACATTCAATTACATTGTATTCTTATTTACGTGCTTATCGTTCTTAATAACTCTATATTACGCTTACTAAGCCGTATCACAGCCTATCCAACTTAGGTGACTAGGCTATGGCCTCAACCACGCTTTCCCAGTGCGGGGTTGACTTCACACATATCTTTTAATCATTTCGCAAATATGTCCAAGTTGCTTCACGATGTTTTTCATCACAGTAAAAACACCGAATAAAATGTATATATGTTAAACACATTGGTACATAGCTTAGAACACAGGACCTCCAGATTATAAGTCAAGTCACCGTTGAGCCAACGATCCGTCAATTATAGACATTGTTTTTAAAAATGTGTCCAGAGGCGAGAGAGTAAAGTAAAAAAAACTAAAAATATTTTGACTAGATATTCGTTTTATAGTGAATAGGGCGTAATTTACAAATTCATTCCATACACAAATTGAATAGATGTAAATTGTTAGCAGATTACGTTACTTTGAATGTATTTGAATACATGGTACGAAATTCATTAACGACAAGTTGTTAGTCTTTCTAAGATATATATTTCAAAAAAGTCAATATAAAATAACGATTAATCTTAAGACTCTCTCTCTCTCTGTCTCTCTCTCTCTCTGTCTCTCTCTCTCTCTCTGTCTCTCTCTCTCTCTCTCGCTCTCTGCCTAGCTTGCATTCCACATGGTGGTGGGATCAGCTTTCCAAATTCGTCTGTTCCACTTCACTCTGTCCACATCTTGTTGTAGTTGATTAATCTTAAGACTGTTAGAAAATTTTTCATTGCTGATTTTGCAATTACATAATTTAAAACTTATCTGATAAGTTCTTTTGATTTTAGTGTTTAAGTTATGCCAACTTCTTCCGGAAATAGTGGGCCTAGCACTAATATTTGTGACAAGAATCTCCGTTACGTCATCGTCAGTTATGTTCATATTAGTATGAGATTTTTAGTGCATTTTACAGCCGATAGGTGGTCTGCATAAATTATAATAAAAAATGTTGTCGGTGATGATACTTATGCGCATGTCGCAAATATTCCTACTAGGCCCACATAACCTTTTTTTTATATCATAATGTGGGAAACGAGCGAGCGGCCACCTGAAAGTGACCGTTGCCCATAGACATACGCAATTGCATATGCGTTGCCTACCTTTGATCGACGGAAGAGAGGATGCACAGAAAGAAAATATTTTTCCTTTCCATGCATCCTCTCATCCGGAAAGTCCATTTCCACTTCCTATCCTTTCCTTATAAGAAAAAGTGTGGGAAGGGAAAGAGGACTAAATTAGGCCTCCGGGACGCACGCTCATCAGACGAAACGCGGAATTGCTTCCACTTCACGCACGTCTTCTTCTTCACCTCAACGCGACATAAGTCTTTTGAGTTTTTGTTGTGTTCAAATTAATAAAGCAGTCTAATTCAAATTATAGAAATTCTATCTTCCTAATATTATAAATGCGAATGTTTAGAGGGATGGAAAGGATAGATGTTTGAAGGTATCTACAGAACGGCTGTACGGATCTCGATGAAATTTGGCATACATATAGAACCTAGTCTAGAAGAATACATAGGCTACTAATTATGTTTTTTTATACCGCGCGGACAGATTCGTGAGCAATAGCTAGTCAAATATATACATGATAATGTCCGACGGAAGACGTTCAGATACTTTTTTGTCACAAAAACATTTTATAAGTTACGAAATATTGGTACTAAGTTTATATTGGCTTTGTAAACCTAAAAGCTATTATATTTTCACTTTGATGTTAAAGGAGTTTATAAGTGTTGCCATAATTCGACAATTAGAAAAAGAAAAAAGTTAGATACGCAAATGAATTGTAATTTCTTTTCATTGTAATTAAAACTTGTAACAAAAAGTGTTATTCTTAAGGGAGAACCGCTAAGTTCAAAGGTTCAGAGTACAAAAGGTGTTTTAATGAATTATAAGAGGTTGTGTTGATTTTAATTGTGACGTCATATTTGTTTTTTTAATCTTGAATTTTAATTGTCAAAATTTCATCCGTAAATTAATTGTAAATTGTTCATCTTACTTATATTATAAATGCGAATAGATGAGTGGATGGATGTTAGAAGGTATTCTGGAACGGCTCACCGTATCTTAATTTTTGGCATAGATGTAGAACATAGTCTGGAAGAACACGTAAACTACTTATTTAGTTTATTTAAATCCCGCGCGGACGAAGTCGCTAGTTAAACAATAAAAAAATTTAAATCGTATTATTCAACAGAAATCGGCGTGGATAATAGAAAGTTGTTTTTGTGTACGAAGTTTTTGAAATAGAGTGTAACGAAAGGAAATTGATTACACACTTAGGCGATTACTTTTTAAAAGTAATGTAACCTTTTTTTTCTGTGTAATAAGTTATTAACTCTTCTTGTTGCAGTGAAAATGGCGCATAACATGTTGATTATACTCTTTGGCGCTCTCCTCGTGCTGTCGGTCGGTGTCGGAGCGAAACGTAAGTGATTTTAAACTCTTTTCCACTGATGACTTAAAATGCGAACCTCACGCGCATTATTTGTAATTACTATGTGCGAAATAATATCACACATATTTGGCTACTTAATAAAATAGCCATAAGTTTTACTTTTAATGTCCTCAAAAGTAACATGGAGTAAAATTTCAATAGCGCGGTTGTTTTTACATTTAGAATTCGAGGAACTAGTCGCTTAGTGGAAAAGGGGTTTTATAAATAAGTATGTCTTTTATTTACTCAGTTTATGTGTTTCGGTCGTTGCGGTAGGGGCACTTTTCACCTTTATACAGCAACTTAGTGCAAGGGTCTTCGTCTTTATGACGGAATGTACACTCGTGGGACAAGAGCTGGCAAATGACTGTCAGTTGTTTCAGCCGTATTCATTTTTATATCTCTTTTATTTCGCTATTGTATAACACAGAAATTCTTATGGATTATCTTTATGTATAATAATATAAAGAATATATTTTGAGAACATAATTAATTTTGAAAATTGTCTGTTTTGGAATGTCAGAAAAGGGAAGCCCGATTTGGACGCCACTTTTGATTGGAAATTATAGCTGATTAGGTCCCGGGCGACTTCTAGTCTATTGATTATAATTATAATATAAAATTTGATAAAAAAGGAAACAAATTATTCAGACACTTCTAAGAAGGGAATGGTAGGTCGATCTGAGGGACGAAAACTAGTGCGCTCACCCCACATAAGCATAAGTACAAGACAGATGAGTGCTCCGACAAATATTTACAAACAGTAAAACAAAATATTTGCTTTAAAAAATATCCTTAAAAGAACGTAATTTAAATTAAATTTTATCCTCGAATACCTTCGTATTCAATAATTGATCCCTTTAGATAAACACGTATGTTTGGGCCACCTATTTATGAACCGCAATCAACGTTTTTAACTCACAACATTGAGGTTTCGTTCGAGCGTCCGACTTCATTACACCTTTTCCACTCGACTTCGAATTTACTCCAGTAATCTGAAAGAAGGTACAATATTACTACCTCATTTAGACCGTTTGAAAAGGGATAATACATTGTATTTGTTAGTATGTTTTGAATTCTCAATTGTATACTTTGAAGAAACAATTTATATAATATTTTGTTTGGATTATACAGGAGGTTTTTTACATAAATAAAAACCTAAGAATTTATGACTGATTTAACGGAATTTTTATACGATAACTTATTATATAACTGTTGCTAACCACTTTAAAGTAAGTAGCTGTCAACCTATTGAATATGCATATAAAATATAATAAAAATCGGTCAAGCCGTTTCAAAGGTAACTAATATTGTGACATGACAATTTTATATCTTACTAATATTATAAATGCGAATGTATGGATGGATGGATTTCGATGAAATTTGGCATACATATAGAAAAATGTCTGGAGGAACACAGAGGCTACTTATTAAGTTTTTTTTTTAATTTTAAGCGGATGGATTCGCGGACAACAGCTAGTATGGAATAAGAAATGTTTGTTTATTTATTCCCTTCGCGTTTTAACCTATTGAAGCAATTTTAATTAAACTATAGTACGATATTCTTAGGATGAAAGAAATTTTTCTTTGCTGAAGGATCTATTATTTAAAAATATTGGTAAATAAATGTAAAACTGAGTAAAAGAAAATATTTTCTAATTAATTATTTAACACAGTACACTTTTAGTTTCGTAATGAATAAACGATACAAGTTGGGAAACAAAGTGGAACAAACAAAAGACGATGTTTATGCGGCCAACACCGCCAGAAGTTCGCAGCTGACTTAAAGTCAATTGAGGTTTACTTACGTTTGACTTTACGTTTGACTTTACGTTCAAACTTTGCATGTTGGTTACATAAAACCTTAACTACATCATGTGTTATATATTACATACATTGGAGATTGTCGGTGGCTCAGGAGTCAGCTTGATACCTCTACACGTTCCTGAGAAAAAGGGTCTTGATAGACAGAGGGACGGACAACAAAGTGATTCTACAAAGGTTCCGTTTTCCTTTCGAGGTATGGAACCCTAAAAATAACGAACTTTCCACTTTAATAGGAATTTGTAAATTTAGACGTTTAGTTTAAGATTTACGAGTAATTTTAAGTAACTCGACTAATGATTTAACATTTCTGAATAGTTTTGATGCTTTCAAAGCAAAAGTTGTGTACATATTCTAGTCAAATTATTCGAATTCATAACTTACATCATTATTCTGAATACAATGCAACTTATAAAGTTGGAACTACAAATGGGATTTGATTATGACAATTATTAAAAGTGCTGTATGACATTTTTGTTGCTTAAATCAACACTAAGGAAGTCTCTGAGTAATCATTTATCAATTTTGAGGGCTGTATTAAGTTTGATAAGTTATAACATTAACATTCTTAACTTTAAGATAATTATTCACTATTTAAAAAAATATTAAGAAGTAAAAAAGAAGGTTTATAAAAATTTTGAACGAAAATAAAAATTCTAGTTTAACTCGACCACCGTAACTTCATAACGTTATTTTAGGAAATTCTAGTAAAACTCTAAAATCGAATAACTCACCGGTATTTACTATTTTTGACGTGGGGGAATAACGCCGCGGGCTACTAACATAAGTTCTGGAATTTTTAGTCATATATTTTCCAATAATAATTTCACTATGATAGTTAGCGATTGGATAGATATATCACATATTATAGTACGGTTCAAACAAAAATGTGCATGAACTCACTCCACCAAATGAGGTAATCATAGCTGTCAATTCGATTAATGAAAATTTTACTAAGCTTTTTTTTGTAATCCGTACATCTGTAATGTCTTAAGAAGTCAATGTCATCAAGACTTTCTGAACCGGTGGGCATAATTTAAACTAAATTATGACAGCTCACTAGCGCCCCTCTGTAAACGTCAATGTCACAAGATCCTCTTTGTATTGTACCTGTCATATGAGATTATTTTTCTTTTATGTCACTTTCAATCTCTAAGTAGGTTTTATATATATTCTGACAGATTCAACTGCGATAGCAGCGCCTCCTACTGGTTTAGACATCAAAGTTCTTTATAGTTTAAAGAATATTGTTTGAACAACTGGCAGGGTTTATACGTTTTTTAGTGGATATCTTTGCATTTAGGTTTCTTGTTTTATATTAGTTTATAAGTTTGAGTTATAATTCTATTCGTGTCCTTTCTTAGTATATTTCATAAGACCATAGACAATCTTTTTGTATTTTCAACTTTTTAAAATTATTACCGAAAGATAAATAATTTTATGCTTACTGTTAATAAAAGTTCATACGTGTGTTATCTTTTACGATACACCAAATCTGAAGAACGAAACAATAAGAAAAGTTAAGATAAAAGTTACGACTTAAATAACAAAAGATCACATGAATAAGGTGACGATAAGTTATGAATAGAAGCTTTAAGTATATGCTTAAGTTATTACTTATAAAAGTAGTTTTCAATGACTGCTACATTGTTTTCCAAGAATATAACATCATTTAAGATACATGAGTTTACTACCAAACGTATATACAAGGTTGAAACTTTTCTTGAAAAATTTTGAATTCAGTTTTTTATGTTTGAATTTGCTTAATTTTAACAATTAAGGAGATTTTTTAAATCCAAACATTTTGTCCAAACAACAAAAAAGACCATCCTGTATACACATGAAATACATCCCTGAGTAACTCGTACACTCTTCTGTCTTTTGGGCTAGTAAGGTAAAACTAGAGTGACTGAAATTAAGTAGTCATGTAATATGTTGCCTCTAAACGGTCAGATGTGTACGCATCGTCACGTGGGTCGATTCCATCACACGAGCTTCGTTAGAGGTAATCGGATTGGTTTACAGTTTTAGTCGCTTATATCGAACCGTTTATTTTAGAAATATCAAGACGATAGTTATATAAACTACTAGTGGAACTTACAATGCCAATGTCAAAATTAATTGAAAAATCTATATAACCTTATTAAGAAATGTCATAGTGCAAGTGTTTTGGCTGAATTAAAGAAGGAGTTTTGATTTATTTAAAAAAAATATTAAAGCACAGACTTTCTAAGGCCTCTTAAGTATATTATTACAGTGAGTTCAGTGGTTTTGGAACGCATAGGCGACAAAAATATTATCAATAAAAGTAAACGTCGGTGGCTCAGGGGTCAAGCACTTGACTTGAAATCTGCAGGTCCTGGGTTCTAATCCCGCCATGTACCAATGTGTTTTTCGATTTCCGATTCACATATGTATTATACATTTATCCGACGTTCTTACGGCGAAGGAAAACATCGTGATGCAACCTGCATATATCTGAGAAGAAATTCAAAGATATGTGTAAAATCAACCAACCAGGGCTAGCGTGGCCTAGACCCATAACTTAGTGTAGGCTCCGAGCCCCTTGGTGGGGACGTATATTGAGCTGATGATGATGATCCCTGTGTTTCCACAGTTATTCCATCAGTGGAAACTCACTGTCGAATATTTGGATTGTCATCGTAGAAATCTATTTGCGTCAAAATACATTTAGGTGTTCGGCAAATAGGTAATAAATACAGGTAAGCTGACAAACATTCCCCTCGCAATAACAAGGTTTAGTATGCATACAATCCGATCAGAACAATTCACGTGAAAACGTTGCGGACACAAATTTAATAAGTGGAATGCATACTACCTCTCGTATACTGAATACTGAACTGCACTGAATATTTGTGATAACAAAATTATACATTTCATGACAAGTATATTGTACACTTTACTTTGTAATCATACTAGCTGTTGCACGCAACTCCGTACGTGCGGAATTAAAAAAAAACTTAGTAGCCTATGTGTTCTTCCAGACTATACTCTACGTCTGTGTCAAATTTCAGCAAGATCCATGCAGCCGTTCTGGAAACTGATACAAACAACCATCTATCCATCCAATCGCATTTATAATATTAGTAAGATTACCGTAATTAGTTTAATTTAATACTTGTTTAAAGGTACGCGTTCATTGGTCCGCACCGCATGTTTGGATTTAACGGATTTGCTTTGTGTTAATATAAGCGGCGCGGATCGAAGCAAACTAAAATCCGTTGCGGGTGTTGCGTGTGGTGCGTCCGGCACGGGCTAATGAACGCGTACATTAAACAGTTGCTTGAAGTTCAATTAACATATAAGGTCTTTCTTGACAGTTTGACAGTGTTGACAACTTAAGGAATCATCGAGTTAAATCGTTCTTTAAATAGAAGACAAACTACATATTTGATTACCATATTAAGATAGTATTTCATGTTAATACTGTATTCTTAGTGTAGAAATGAACCTGAAAATTGTAATCTTATAAGAATCAAGTAACAATTTGTACGGGGCGAGATTAGAGTTGGACCATTTCCTCATTCAAATGGCGACCTATCATTTGCCCGTAAATACCGGAAAATGAGACGATATCCAACTTACCTTGCTGTATGAGCATAGTATGGCATATTCTTTATCGTTTTTCTTTCTGAGTACTTGGTATAGATCAATAATGATAGCCGGTACGTAACAAATAAAAATGTTTAAAAGAAGCTTACTGATATTATAAATACGAATGTTTTGATGGTTGGATAGTTCGTTTGAAGGTTATCCACAACGGCTGCATCTTGCTGAAATTTTAAATAGATGTATAACATAGTCTAGAAGGACACATAGGCAACTAATTCCGTTTTTTTTTCTTTTATTTCGCGCGGAGTCGCAGGCGACAGCTATTTAAATATAAGACTATGTTGATCAAGAAAAATGCAACTTTTTAAGAAGGAATTTTATATATCGATTCCTTAAAATATAGGAAGATTTTTAAATTAATATTTTGCGTGAATTCTGATACTCTTTTAAGAATAATTTTGAAGACTCTCATGACAAATAATACGTACGATATGACGTCACTCGTTCGTTAAAACTAGAATAAACGGCCACAAAGCAAACGAATGGACGACAATGTACGATCCTTGTGCAAACTGGACCTCCCAATTCTACACTAGAACGAAAAGACAAACGTTTGTGACCGTGAGCTAAAATAGTATTTTCTGCAAGTGAAATTATCGGATATATTTCTTTAGGATACTTTTTTGAAAGCTAAATTTATGTTTCAAATTATGATGATCGTTTTATGGCATGGTAATAAAGAGAAATTGTAACAATTTCTGTCACAACATCGATCGAAAAATATTTTTTTTGTGTATGTGTTTTGTGTGTGAAAATAAATGTTTTATTTTTCTTTTTTTCTTGATCGAAAAAATAAGGTGTAGGGAATATGATAAAACCAATTTACTAATTATCGTAAGTTTTTTTAACGTAAATTGTCTTGTCTTTTGTTTTAGGTGGATGCTCTGCTTTTGGCCACTCCTGCTTTGGTGGACACGGCAAGAGATCAAGCGATAATTCAATCATGGATGTAAGTAAACCCACGTTGTATTTTTGTCTTCACAACTTAGAGGTATCCAATGTAAGTGTAAAAACTAAGGAATTAGGATTAGATTTTCTATTTTGTGGTAACAACAAAATACTTGATAATCATATTTTACCTTGATGATTCTCGCTATATTTTAATACGAGTATCACTGTATATCGTTGACCTAGACTGTCTTTTATCGACCAGATAGGTAAAATACTCATGGTGGGCCACTCAAGAATGAATGAGGGGTGTGCCAGGATTGCGACAAATGAAAATTTGTAACATCTAACCCACTGGGTTATTAACGTGTTTTATCTTATGCTGTTTTACCTCAGGGCACCAGCGGTGGTCTGCTGGAGCGTCGCCAGTTGGGACAGGAGGAGACGCCACCGCACCCCGGCTACCCACGCTCTGGCTACAGCGGTCTGCTGCCCACTGGCGATGACATCATACCCATTAGAGATGGAGGTATGAATACCATTAGAATTTCCTAGAATAACTTTCTAAAGAAGTTGCACACCTCGTGTTGTGTGCAACATGTGTGTGAAGTTGTTAAGATAGATTTTAACTTCAATCTCTCATTTGTTTCTTCGTTTTTAATCGAGGATAAATTAATATATTTTGGTTGATTTTAATTAGATCCGTTTGACACAACTGCATCCTTTTCTTTTAGGTGCGTATGAAAGAGATGACAACAACGTTGCCCGCGATGTCGTTAAGTACAAGTTGAGGAACATTGTGAAACATTGGGTAAGTATTTTAAGATAATTTAATAATATTAGCAGTACTCAACCAACGCATGAACATCGGTGGAGCAGTTTTTATGAACTTGACCGAACCGGACCATATTCTAGACGATCCACGTTCGATCACCGCCATGCATCGATTTGTTTTTCGATTTATGAATTAGATATATACATCTGACGTTCTTACGGTGAAGGAAAACATCGTGATAGAATTTGCACATATCTGAGAAGAAATACAAACGATGTGCGTGATGTGCCCGCACTGGGCCAGCGTAATTGATTATGACCTAGTCACCCATATCTTTAGGCTTCGAGCCCGTCAGTTGTGAGGTATAGTGAGCTTATGATGATGATGATTAGGCAAGAAACATCATCACCCGACTTTTTTTAATTCCTCGCGGACGGAGTCGCGGGTGACAGTGAAGTTATAGCTATGAAATTGGTTACAGTGTAAGAAAAGAGATGTAAATGTACGTAAATCAGAGATGTAGAAAATAGGCAAGGTCAGTGGATAAATGATACATTATTGTTCCAGATGGAGAACTACAGGCGATCACAAAGCAACGACGACGGATATTTCATCGAGACCTTGTAAATGCCAGAACTCTACGCCTCTCTGTCACTCTCGAGTGTGTTGTGCGAAGTAAGCTTGTTTTTATACTTTTAAGTTTAAACTCTACTTTTTGTCAAAGATTAAACTAACAGTAAATAAAGAATAGACACTTCTTTGAAATTTTAGGTATTAAGTTTATATTATGCTTGGAAATTATTATACAATTTTTAATTAGTTTTGATGTTTTCCTTACAAACAAGCTTACTTCAATTTCATATAAGGAATATATAAAGAAAAGCCTATAAATTATAGTAACTATGTAACGTAATTATTCTAAGATTTAAAAATCTTATTAGTATATAATTATAAAATTTGCCGTCAATTATAAAATTCTTTCGAGACGTTATTTATTATTTAGTCTTCTGCAATTTAATTCTAATATTCATTTCAAAAGGCTGGCAGTTACTTTATGTTCTTTTTATTTTTAATTTACTTTTTATTAATGTATCAAAGACATTTAGAGTACATTATACCTAAAAATTAAATGATCCCTCTAACTCTACATGATCTATGATTCACCTAATTTCGAAGATTTTTATGCTCTAATAATACCAAGTATTAGAACTTTCTAGTCGTGTTAATAAGACATAAGTTTACCATCATTAACGTGTTTGTAAACTCTTATATATCTTTATGACTGTTTCTTAATAAGAATGTTTTATGTGTCAATAAATGGTTACAGAACTTTATTTGTGTTTTTTTTTCTGATTTAATGACCTTAACAAAGACCTGAGTTGGCTGAATATAAACTGCTTTTATATTAAACTCCTTAGTACCAGTTTCCACTAAGATGTGCGACGCAGGAACAACGCCAGTGGAAAAAACAAGCTACCAGGAAAGAGAGATTTAATTTTTTTTATTTATACAATTGATAATGGTGTTTAAATATTACTAGCTGTGGTCTGCGACTTCGTCTGCGTGGTATTAAAAACACTTAATAAGCAGCCTATAGTTCTTCCAGACTATGTCCTACATCTATATAGAATTTCATCAAGATCCACTGTATCGTTCCGGAGATATCTTCTAACAAACATCCATCTAAACATTGGCATTTATAATATTAGTAAGATAGTAAGATCTACAATTGCTCTATTAAAATATTCCTAAATAAAGGAGCAAAGAGAAATAGGTCAACAAAAAGAGCTTTGTATGAATCATTATTAGCAAAAATCTTACTGCATTTTGTAAAAAAAAAAATGTGCGTTATTTTAGCAAAACATATAAAACTGTAATGAGCCAACTGAAATGGCATCTCACATGATGCTGTTCGACAGAAATACAAATAACAATTCGTTTATCCGACATACGAAGGTCCATTTACGACCTTTAGCCACGTGAAACAGCCATTATGGTTTCATTCATTTCTAAAGGTAGGCGTTTCTAAACTATTTTACTTTCAGAAAGATATATTATGTACAGTTTACCTAAATAGAAAAAAAAAACTGGAAAAGCAACTTAATAGATTTTTTTTACCTCTTGTGGCTTCTAAGTCTGAATTATTTAAGTAGACGTTTAGAACTATTTTTTTCTTAATAAAACAACTAGTTGTCACCAAGGACCTTAATTACCTAGTAGCCTATGTGTACATCCAAACAATACTCTACATCCATGCCATATTTTATCGAGATCCGTAGAGCCGTTCTGGAGACATCTTATAACAAACATCCAACTCTCCGTACATGTACACTTTGGTAATAATTATATTATTAAATAATTATATAACATTTCATACATTAATAATGCAAGTGTATGAATTTATATATACAGCGTGTCCCAAAATTCAACGATAACCCGTTACTGGTTAATAGCGTGGTCGATTTTTCTTGTTTCGATTCAATGTTGTTATCGATGTGGCTATACACCAGGACCGGTTTATCGTTGAATTTTGGGACCCGCTGTATATATCTAACAGTTAACAATGGAGTCTTAAGATTTGATCGCTGGCTTACCATGGCGGTCGTCTTTTGTTTACTAATCAACGTAACACTTCATTTGTTTCGAATAGTATTATATTTAACTGCTTGTTATTGTGTTAAATATTTGTTATTATTATATATAAATATAGTTATTAAGTACTAATGTAGCCTATGTTTTCTTCCAGACTATGTTCTACATCTATGCCAAATTTTAGCGGTATCCTTTTAGCCGTTCGTGAGATACCGTCAAACAAACATCTAAACATTCGCATTTATAATATTAGTAAGATAGAAACATGCTTTTGTACAAAAAGGTAAAGATTATAAAGATATTAGTATCGTTTTATTAAGCTTTTTAAAATTCCTTTTGAAACTTTTTTTAAGTGATTTAGGTTTAAAAACTTTTGGAGTAAATTCTTAGTTAGTAATCGCAACAATTTTCTTAACTATCCGAATAAATTGTCATCATCATCAGCTCACTATATGTCCCTACCGAGGGGCTCTGAGCCTACCCTAAGTTAGGGGTGACTAGGCCATAGTCAACCACACTGGCCAAGTGCGGGTTAACTTCACACATATCTTTGAATTTCTTCTCAGATATGTGCGGGTTGCATCACGATGTTTTCCTTCACCGTAAGAACATCAGATAAATGTACATATGTAAATCGGAAATCGAAAAACACATTGGTACATGGCGGGATTCGAACCCAGGACCTGCAGAATGCAACTCCTGAGCCACCGACGCTCTTCGCCGAATAAATTGTAAAAGCTTTTTATTTTTAACTATAGGTTTGAAACAAAAGCGGATTGTTCTGCGTCCAATCTTGCACTTTTTTGTTTAGCTGTCAACCGCTAGAGTCTATAGGATGCTATTTTTTTGCAAAAAATGTGTATTTCAGATTTCAATGAATAGTTTTCAATCTCGATTTGTTTTTAAATTGTTCAAAGTGACGTAATAAACTGATTTGATTGTTTATTAGAAACTAAACTATTGAATATTCTTTCATATTAAGCGAAATCCATACTTTTATCCGATTTCAAAAAAAGACGGTTAACAAGTAGTGCTTATTTTTAAGTGTGTTACCGCGTAACTCCGCCCTGGTGTTCCTATTTTGAATTTTTTTTTCACGTCGAAAAGTTTCGCTTGCTGGTGGGTCCCATTTTTATAGTAATATTTAAACTGACTAGAAATTTAGAAGATGAGTTTAAGTTCGAAATGAGTTACGAAAATTTATGACTGTTTTTACTAACGTCCTCAGGAATATTGCAAAATGATGTTGAATACCTGCAGAGACTCTTTCTCCGCTAAATATCCTTCCCCTTTCTGTCCTTTCTTTAATAGAAGTGTGGTAATAAGAAGACAAATTTGCATTACATATATAGAAATAGAGGAACATTAACAATTGTTATTTGTTTAATTTGTCACCTAGAGACATACAAGCAATGCGGTGCCAGGAAACTGAAACGGGGCAACATAAATCCGATTAGTGCTAACGAAGCTCTTGATATGTAGAGTTGACTGCAAGCAACGTTGTACAATAATACTATTCTAAAAGAAGACAAGCAGTATTGTTAACATTTAAAAAAATAAAATCTGGATGACCGGATCTCTCTTTAAATTGTGTTTTTTGGAAATTATATTTTAGTACGAATTACTAATAAAATGATGAAATATGAATAATATTTTTCGATCTTACAGATAGAAAAAGTTAAGTTTATGTTTAAGTTGATTATCGAAAAAACACGAATAAAATGACATTTTCTAAAAATGATTCCTAGCTACATCGATTTATCACCTCCGAATCCCCCTATATACTAAATTTTATGAAAATCGTTGGAGCCGATTCCGAGATTCTAATTATATATATACAAGAATTGCTCATTTAAAGATATAAGATTAGATCCATACATAACCTTACAAATTACCCGTGCCCGGCTTCGTTCGCGTCAAATATAGTTTAGTTACTAACTGTGAAAATGATACTTCCATACCAATTATTTTGAAACCTTTTTTGCATTTCAAAGTAGCCTATATTCTTTATCAGGCTCCAGACTATCTGTGTACCAAATTTCATTTAAATTGGTTCTGTAGTTTTGGCGTGAAAGTGAGACGCGAAAGTAACTACGACTAACTATCGCATTTACAATATTAACAAGGATACGTAAGGATTATTACGAATAGCAATTATTTCATAACTATTTGTAACAACGAAAACTTCTACTGGTTTAATTTAAAGCGTCTATATCAATAAATATAAAGTTACGAGTACATAGATATTGTATTATGTAAAATTAATTGAATAAATTTCTACAGATTTGCACAAAGAATATTGGCTTAAGAAGGTCCAAGCTATCAAATAGATGGGTCCAAGATAGGACAGCATGAAACATTTACTCGATGAGATATCATCATATTTAGGCATTTTCTTTGCTTAAATTAATATTATAATGCTAAATAGACCTTGAGAGCGTCGGTGGCTCAGAGGTTGACTTGACTTGCAATCTGTAGGTCCTGGGTTCGAATCCCCCCATGTACCAATGTGTTTTTTCGATTTCCGAATTACATATGTACATTTATCTGATGTTATTACGGTGAGTAAGGAAAACATCGTGATGCAACCTGCACATATCTGTGATGAAATTCAAACATATGTGTGAAGTCAACCAATCCGAACTTGGCCAGCGTGGTTGACTATGGCCTTATCACTCTTAACTTAGGGTAGGCTCCGAGCCCCTCGGTGGGGACTTATAGTGAGCTGATGATGATGATAATTATGAAATAAACCTTAACTATTTTTACTTTAATTATATAAGCGGTATATTATATATAGCTTTTATTTTTTCATATACATTTATTTATCACATTTCTAATATAATACATTTCATATAAATATATATATATATACAAAACATATTATATTAAAAAGAGAACACCACCGGCTGCGGAATCCCATGACTCAAACAACCAGTGGTCAGGGCTGCAGAGACAGGAACCTTCTCACGATGCGCGCGGTTT